CGAGACAACAAAAAAAAAAAAAAAAAAAAAAAAAAAAAAAAACGGTCTTCGCTAATAGAAAAAGATCACTTGTGGGTATACAGTTTGTAAACATTTTCGTCAAAATGTCTCTTAAATTACAGTTTTATAAAGACGTTTTTGTGCGTTTATAACGCTTGGCCATATACACGGCTGCTATATGCCTTGTAGGTTACTGGAATTCTTCGGATATATTGCTCGTAAAGAGGGTCACAATCTTGAACAGCTGATGTTGACAGACAAGTTTTCGGTAGGCAGCGGCTTGGCTCTGCCCCTGGCATTGCTGAAGTCCATGGGCGACGGTAACGACTCACCATCAGGTGGGCCGTATGCCCGTCTGCCTACAAAGGCAATAAAAAAATAAATAAAAAAAAGAACAAGGGAGATGGTAAACGTCCCAGAGGACGCAGTCCCACGAGATGGTCGGACCAAATACGATCTTCTTTGAACATTAGCTTCCACAATGCTCTTCACGAAGCTAAGGATCGCAGCAGATGGAGGGAAATCGTACGGGAGAAACTGATGCAGCGGGGGAGTCGCGACCCTCAGTAATGAGGAAAACGATGCGTGGAGGAGGGGAACGCTGGCCAAAATGCCAACAAAAAGTCTAATCCACACACAAAAAAATCTGATGGCGATTTGCTACTGGCGTGGATATGTCAACGGTCCTTATATATTTGTTTTTTATTAGTTATCCACCTCATTGTTCTGTTTACGTTTGTTTAATAAAATATTTCAATTGTATCACGTATAGACGTTCTTGAATATTCGCAATCGGTATCCTAGATATCGATACATTTATTGTAACCACTTACTACCTGGTGGTCTGTGTTCTCGTTCACTTACTATATACGCGAAAGTGAAAAATGTAGACACATAAAACATTCGTTATAGATATATTTTGGATCGAAAACAGAAGTCATAATATTTCAGTGTTGACTATTGACGCGATTAAATTTTTTTGTCAGCTACCATTTGCCGATAAGGGTAGAGCCAGAGAGATGACGATAACACTGACATTAGACTTTTATAAATCAATTTAAGTCGAGTGCCCAGTTTATGTTCGGTAGACAGCGGCTTGGCTCTGCCCCTGGAAATGCTGAAGTCCATGGGCGACGGTAACCGTAATTACTCACCATCGGGTGGGCCGGATGCTCGTCTGCCAACAAGGGCAATAAAAAATAATAATTTAGTTTTAGATTTTGACATTTTGAAACACAGTTCGTTTTTTGTTACTTGTTTATCTCAGAGATGAGTAAGTTCATCTCTGACGTCAAATGGATACCGGAGCCCATAGTCGTCATTACTAGACCTTAAAATATGAGGTCTAAATCGCAGTTGTGTTGTACTCCGCCCTTCAGTTTAAATAGGTGAGGTGAAGATTCCCACTCATACACAAATAATTTGCTGGGCGACCATAAATTTCATTGTTTTGTTTTTAATAGAATCAAAGATCTTTTTTTGGGCATTTATTTTACTACATTAATTATTTATTAAAAACAAACGAAACTGTTCCATGATTTATTAAAACAATTATTCAATACAAGAACAATTTAAAATTATAATATGTTTTAAAGATATAATGATTCACTTAACGTGTCTCGATTGTTTTTGATGGAAATGTTTCGTGTCATTCATGCACACTGTTATCTTCAGGGTAATATCGTCAAGACAATTTTTAAGATCTTCTTTTAACTCTCTAACTTTAACTCTCACATCCTCACACATAAGATTATAGCACATCGCCACCAAACCCATCCCAAGGAGCACATAGATAAAATTTATAACCAGCTTTAAGTGTGACCCGCCAGCTGAATCTGATATGTTAGCACCAGGTACAAAGTCACCAAAACCAATTTTGCATAAACTTATCACGCAGAAATAAGTTGAATCTAAATAGTTCCATTTCTCCCAGGCTCCGAACATGATGGTGCCTGTTAAAATGTAAAATGATATGACCCAAAGACACGCTGTTGACGGTACAGTTATCTTCCTTTTGACAGGTATAATCTCACCCTCTTCGAATACTGCATCATCTCTCCGGCTACACTCGTGAGCTGTTATGTACAACCATTTAAATGTTTGAGCTAATACTTTACCCATGTTACAAAAATACAGAATGTAAATAGGTATACCAAAGCATGCATAAGCTATGGTCACTATTTTGCCCCATATTGTTTTAGGTATGATGTTTCCATATCCAATCATTGTAAATACAGATAACGAATACATAAGAGCTGCTGGAAAGGACCATATATCCTCAGGAGAACGTCCATTGTAGCCTGTGTGCACTGCTGCTGTAATATTGTTTTGAAATACTTTTAGAACTTTGTCCACTTTTAACACCCACGAAGTCTCATTAAAAATGTTGTTTGCCACTGTTATGTTCCAGAGTTCTTCGGCACAACTTTGTCTCCACTTTCGTACGTGTTGGAGTTGCTCATCAGGGTTGTCCTTTTCGATATGCATGAAGCTAGCAGCGCCGAGTATGGCATAGCATACAACCAAAGCACCAACACCCACTTGCGTGAACATGAACGCTACGAATTTCCTGAAGCAATCTTTGATTTTCTCTCTTGCATCGCTTCCGGTTGACGACGAGTCCCGGCTCCTCATTGAACCATGGTAACTCGCATTGACAGGTTGTCTATCCATTGCAAATTAATAAACTAATGTGGGTTATGACTGGAATCTAGTGTAGTAGGCGCGTCATTCATTCTATTTCCAGCACCGGTTGGCATTATGCCAGATACTATGTTTTTGAAGTATGATTACAAAACCATTTACAAAACATTACACTTCGAAAATATAAACTCAGACACGCATTTTTTTTACAAAATGTTATTTAATCTATTTACTTCTTCCGTCGATTTAAATATACTATGTCAATGACTTCTTCGCTGTCGTCCGTACAATTAATAAACAAAATAGGTCTAGTTTAAAGAACAGTAATAGCAACAAGTTCAAAAAACCTAATAAAATTTTAAAAATATTCCATACTTACAGTCAATTTTTCATTGTAATTTGTTTCATGGCATTTATTTATTTATGAAATCTGACTATTATGAAATATTTTTTTTTTTTTTTTGGAGTTTATGGCCTGGTATCTAGACCTTTAGGCCAAGTATTAAGTATTTTTATTCAGTTTATTATAATTTCCCCACTGTATTTTTGATGAATTTATATAGAGGCACGTAATAGGATCTATTTTTTAACATATCACTCAGGCGGCGGGAGGGATCTTGCACTGTCACTTGATTTTGCACTATGTCACTAATTTCACTGACAAGAATCAATCTGTCAAACGAAAAGCACTCACATTTAAATATGAAATGTNAAAAAAAAAAAAAAAATATATTTCTTTTTTTTAAATTCGTTTGTAATTAGGGATGTAGACAATTCATTGACATTATTAAAACATCGATTTATCGTAGAATCGTGCATGACCACCGATTCTAAGTCCGAAAAACAATCGTGACATGGATTGTCATGAACAATGTTTGATTTTTTAAATCATCAATCATCATCAAATTTTTGTGGAAGTCGAACAGGAGCTATAAATAATAGAAATTTGGGATGACATGCGACATGATTCCATCGAACTGAATATAATAATTTCGCCAATCCTATAAACCCCGGCATGCACCGAACAGAGGTGGTCTTCCGAAGCTGGACAAATAATCTCATAAATTTTACAATGTCAGATATCAATAATTACTACAGATTTTTTTGTTATTACTACGTTGATTGTTAGTGATTTAGAATTACACAATCTTCCATAGTTCATAATCTAAAATATAAAGAACGTTACAAACTCATATAAAATTGATTGTTTAACGTTTTAGCGTAACCTCTGATTTCAAGTCACAATAATCTCAAGAAATCTTACAATAATTTAATTTTGACAGGTGACTAAGCTTTCTTCTACTTCTTCTGAAGCTCTGAGTCGGTCTCTTCATTGCTAAAGGTCGTGCCTAGCGTAAGGTGTTGATTACTCGATGCGCTATGGTTACCCACGCCTTCCTGTCCTCGGCGATCTTATAATATAGCTTTAAAACAATATGAATAACATCATTACATACTTTATGAGTTCAACAACGTATTTACTGCCAATAATCGTTCAACTTTAAAATGTGTTTTATGTGAATAAATTCTGACAGCACTTTTAATTATAAAAATTGAAACGCTTAAGAAATTGATTTGAACTCTAGATTCTGAGTACGAAATTCAATTTGTTCCAAAATGATCAAAATGACCAACACTCCTTTGCCTACCCAAGTACCTAAATATTGGAAACAAAAATCTACGTTTTGTGGAATCGTATTTTTGCAATGTTCTTTAGCTTGGAGTTATTTTCTACCTTTGTTACACTTGTGAGAAAAGTGTATTTGTTGTTCTCTTTTTTCAAATATTCCATAGTTCTAGAGAACGTTAATGCAAAACCTGAACTTAAATTACACGGCACGTTTTTCTGGCGTTGTTTGTATTCCGGCATAAATGTTAAATATCGAAATTTATGTTTATTTTCAATATTTCACTTAGAATGTCATAAAACCTATTTAATTTTATGAGTGTAACTTTGTTTTTTTTTCCAAAATTGTGCTTAATTAGCTAAAAAAATCACGTCAGCACACAGGGGCTTCAGGGGACGACGATAATGGCTGAACAACCTCGAAATTGTAGAGATGGGTGGCCGACTCTAAATGAAAGAAAATGCATATGAATTGACAAACTTTAATCGAACATCGTGTAGCTTTAGCTTTATAAATTTTAATTGTAAGTAATACATTTTCGTACGTAGCTGCTATACATTTCAAGGTCGCTGAATAAAATTGACCGATATTTTTTTTTCAGACAAATAAACATGTAGCCGTGAATTTGATAATATCACGATGTTCGCAATAGCAGGTTCCACATTCCCATGACACCAATTGTTTAATCAACATACATGGACAAAACATAGTGCCGCCTTCATAACCCAAAAATATAAACAATCACAATGGCTTCACAATCTAACACTGCAGGACCGAAGCCGAGCCAAATGTTCCACATCCCGAAGGCCACTACTATAGATAAAATTGGCGGGATCCACTGTCACATATGTAAATTAACTTTCGGTAAAAAAAAAGAATATGACGAACATTACGTGGGGCATAATACAGGAGAGAAAGAAACCGTTTATACTTGTGTCATATGCCATAAGCAGATAGCTGGCTACCGGAGTTTCCAGGGGCATTGTTACCTCAAACATGTTGTCAAAGACAGATTTACGTAAGTTGGGCCATATATTCACTCCTAAACAAATGAAATAAATAGAAGCCTTAACATTAATTATATTATCAATAATCAACATTTTAAATAAGTCGATTTCATCTACTGGATATTTAATTTTTGTCTTACTATGGAATAGTGTAATATAAATCTGTGTGTAGAAGAGAAGAAATAGAGTTTGTACAGTAGCCAACAAAGAAAACCACATTTATTCTTTTTTATGTTCTTTGATAGAGCAGGTAAGCTTTGTGTTGAGTTGTTACTGGAGCCCACGGAAACATTACAACACAAATGGGGCATAAGATTGGGGTCTGAATTTGAATTTATAATGGCCAGCCACTATACGCTAGTCAAAAAATATAAAGTGCTCATTTTGAAATAATTTAAATACATTTTCAGATGCAATGACTGCTATAGAATGTATTCAAAACAAAGCTTGTTGCTGAAACATATTGCATCTATGCATACATTCATATGCAAAATATGTAAGCAAAGGTAAGTGTTGACTGTTGATCAAAAAGGTTTTCAGTCACAACTTAGATACTTTAAATGATGATAAGTAATATAGGACTTCTGATATCCGATTATTCCATGAATTTGTTTTGTATTAAATAATTTTATTTATTACAAAAAAATTAATCTTAGATTTCCTTTCTTCATTTCTTAGCAAGTCAATTCTTTGTTGCAAACAATTGTGTGTTCAAAAATATGAGTAAAATATCAAAAAAATCCTTAATTACAAAAAAAAAGTGTGTGTGTCCGCTCCGACGCACGACTGGAGTTTACTGGATATAAAAAATTAAACGAAACAATACGAGAAATAGTTCTATATTACGACAACACGATACACTACAGATTATTAACAAATTAACGAGACACAAAACAAACGACTAACAAATATATGAAAATACAATAATGAGAGAAACGCGCGATCAGTACGAGGCTTTGTGGCGGACTGCCGGCGCAGCAGCCCGGCGTCACCTGCGATAACGCATTTCGTGTGACATGCGCAATCAGGCGCATAACGCATTTCGTGTGACATGCTAGTACGATTTTGGTCCCCATAATTTTCATACCCCGGGCCTATATATGTAAATCGATTCTAAAGGAGTAAACTCCAAAAAGCAGTAGACAACAGTTTGGCTATACTCCTAGTATTATGGGTGTCCTTGAGTAACGAGAAATGGTGCCTAGTTACCATCAGATGGGCTGTATGCATGGCTGAGTATGATGGATTTATGTTAAGATTAACTCGTATATCTTTTTTAATCTATTTCAGTTTCACCTCAAAAAACGAACTTCTCATTCACAATATCATCCACAAATCTGAGAAAAACAAAGCACCTTTTCCATGCATGACATGTGGCAAGTATATAGATACAGCAGATATGTGTGAATTGCATATCGATGAGGCCAGTTCATTTACATTTCCGTGTCCAGTGTGCGAAGAATCATTTCCGAATCGACCGGAGATCCTGAAACATTTAACCAAGCATTTTGATGATGAAATAGAAATCAATACTGACACGAAAGTGTTGATTGAAGATTGCTCTGTAAACATGGTCGGTGTATACTGCTGCTTCTGTGAGGAAACTTTTAACAATCGCATCGAATATGATTTGCATTATGAGACTGAGCATAGCGACAAGGAACTTGTTTACACATGTACAATATGCAAGAAGCAATATAATAAATATGCATTGTTTGGCAATCACTGTCATTTCCATATTTCCAAGAACAGATTCGAGTGAGTATTTTTGTTATCATACTGTGAATTATAAACTAACATTGATTACTAAAAATAATTCTGGTAAACAACAGAAAGATTATATATTTTTTTATAATACCTAGTATTATAATATTTTACATAATAATTAAGAAATAACAATATTAATGGCATGAGTTGGGTAATTTAAAAAGCTTACGTATCCAAATGGGAAGCTTCTCGGCCTAATCTATATATTAATACGTGAAGCAAAAACTTTGTACCCCTTTTTACGAAAATTGCGCGGACGGAGGAGTATGAAACTTCTTACACTTATAGAGAATATAGAGAAGGAGTGCACACTACATACCATGTATTTGACGCACACACGCATGCATACTATTTATTGTCAAACTGTTGTTCTTGACGTCTGTGGTCAAATTGAGATTAAATATTGTTTGTCTTTATTTTTATTTTTTTATAATGTAGCCTTGGCGAAATATGTGATTATAGAAGTGCGAGTTTAATAGTCTTTGGCTGTTTGTCAATATAATCATAATAGTGTACAAACTTACAATTACAATTAATTAAAGTCGAATGTCGACTACTATGGGGCCACTAGTTAGTTAGAAAATTACTATACAATACAATTCAGACTTCCACCTTAGGGTAATTACTAGAGATGAAATGGATAGTGGTTTGGCTGGATACCGAATATTCGGCAAGCTGCGAGGCCGGAGCGCCGGATATTGGCCCTTTCAATAGCCCTTTCGGAAATATTCGTGAGCGACTCGGTACGACGACCATTTGGTATTCATTCACGACAATTTGCCACTTGTTAATTTTGAGTATTAAACAAACGTCTTAATAAAACAATCACTTTTGACGTGCGGTTATAAAAATAAAAGTTCTCCATAACATATTGTGGTATTATTTGCTTTTTGTATAACCGTGAGATTTTCTTAAATTTTACTACCCCAAATCAACCCAATTTACTATCCGATATCCGGCTGGATAGTGAAAGTATGGCCGGATAGGCCGGATACCGGATAGCAATCGGATATCCGTTTCATCTCTAGTAATCACTAACAACCAGTTGGTTCGTCTCCCATCTAGTGCATTGGTAAAAAGTAGATTCTCCGATACTGTAATGTTACTGTGCTTTAGGTGTTCGGAGTGTGGCAAGCTGTTCCCGCGGCTGTCGCTGCTGGTGCTGCACCGCGCGGCGCACGGGCCGGGCCACGACCCCGAGCGGCCCTTCCCCTGCTCGCACTGCGACTGCACCTTCTCCACGCTGCAGCGCCTCACCGAGCACCACCGCCGCGAGCACCCGCACCGAGACATCCGCTGCCACAGACCAGGCTGCGACCTCACGTGCGTATCCCTCCACCATCTTCTATCAGCATTGTTATTAAACGAGACTTTTTGGCGGGAACGCGAGGAGTGAGGTTGTGTGATTTGTTTTATTTTGTCTATTTAGTGCTTATTCAGGTTTAATAACGGTGGTTTATTAACTGTTCAATATCTGTGAAAGTGCACAAATGTGGGAAAATGAAACAAAGCCGCTGGACGTAACTTCTCGGGCTCCTTCAAAAAGTCCACTGAAAAAGTTTCAGTAAATGACATTGTCATCCCATATCATCTCATTTCATTTAATTTCATCCCAGTTGATTAATGTCTCAAATTAATCATCTTCATTTCATTTTATCATTTTTCATAAAAATAAGAATATAACCAGGTCATAAAATCAGTAAATCAGTAAATAAAATCATACTTAAACTTCTCATTCCTACATAGTCTATGGTCTCCGGTAACTGCTTAACATCAGGTGGGCCGTGAGCTCGTCCACCCACATAAGCAATAAATAAATAAAAGTGCCCAGAAATACTGTTTTTAAAATACATTGAATTTCTAATACTAATATTTTAACAGTATTCAACCTTTTTATTCTATCGTGCCAGTCTTGGATCAGTTATATCAAAAATGGATACAACATTTAAAATCACTTAGAACCTTCTATAAGAGCTGCTTTGCTGGCTATTACTTAACATATTGAACAACATGACGGACACCATGTGTCCACGGCATTCCTTCCCCTCAGGCTTAAATGTATCAAGAATATCTGTCTGGTTGTAGCTGGAATAGCCCCTAGGCTACTAGTGAATAGGTAGGGAAAAAAAACAAGAATCGTCCAAAAATCAATTGGGAGTCTTTATCGAAAAAATTATCAAGAATTAATTTAAAAATAATGGGCGTCTTACGGAAACAGTGACTACTCATTATTTTCGGAGAGATTCCAAATGCGAGACTCAGGGGTCGAGTGCGCCCCCCTGAACCCGACTTATTGGTGGTCACAGGGTGTCCATCTCAACCCACTGCGCAGCTAAACATGGTTTTTAGTCTAGTGTTCAACGTGTTAACCAGTAATTTAAAAAATAAAAATAGCAGTAAAAATAAAAATAAAAACTTTTTAGACAGTATAGAAAAAGAAAATCAGCTATTTGAATGGGGTAGATTTAATTGAAGTTCAATTAAGAACATCAAACTGTTGATGCTAATACCAAATAAAACGGACCTTTAATTACAAAGATAATATTTTTTTGCATATTAAGCGAAATGTCGCTTAAACCATATAGCTTTTCCGCACCTCAATATGTAGTTTCAAAACAAAACAAAAATACGCCCCAATAGCAAACCGAACTAACAACTAATTTAGTCTTTTTTATCTTGATGGTCTGGATGTTAGAGCGAAGTCATATTAATATTGTGTTCTCCACTGGTCATTGTTGCATTAAAGTTAATCAGACTTCTTGAAGTCAGTTAAAATTAAGTTCACATATTTTTGTTATATGAGCTAATTAATCAAAGCCTGTTGAAATCGAAATAACTCTAAATGTATTAATTAGCACAATTTTCTCTTGTACAGATTCGAATCGTTCAAAGATCTGATCCTCCACTACCCGAGTCACAGCGACGAATATTGCTGTCGTCAGTGCGGTCTTCAGTTCAGCACGCTCTCCTCTTGCGAGAAGCATCTAAACGTTCACGCCATCAAGCATTACTCCTGCCCTGTCTGTAACCAAAGATACCAGCACAAGTACCAACTTATCAAGCACATACCTCAACACTTTGAAACTGTCTTCCATGTTTGCACAACATGCGGGAAGTCTTACAACGCTAAATCGAGGCTCATACAGCACGCGAAAACTCATACGTTAAGGCAGTTCAAATGCACTTATTGCAGAAAAGCATTCCTCAAAGATTATGATCTACAGCAACACGTGAATATTCATATTGGTTTACTTCCCTACAAGTGTTCGTTATGCCCCAAAGCATTCGCTAGTTATTCGAATCACTACAAACACATGCTTCGCGTGCACAATGTCCAACCAAAATCTAAATCGAATCTACAAAAAAATATCAAAGATCCATCCAAGAAAGAATGCCATGACAAAGATACGAATGAAGAAAAACAATCTGTAGTTGATCAAAAGCCGTTAGAGCAAACCATAATGGATACGGATGATAGTACAGTAGAGAGTATTGATCCCATCGCTCTTGAGAAGGAATTGCAGATGTTCAACGAGACCAACAACGGGGACACTGTTGATGGATCCCAACTTGCTGACATTCAGCCCAACAATAGTGCTGTAGCTGTCTTTGGTGAGCAAACAATTAATAATAATAATAATAATTTATTTATTTCTCTCTTAAAGGTATAGTACAAATACATAAGGAAATTAATCTTATAATTTATTTTGTAAGCCTTTGAAAGAGCTGAAGTCTGTACTAGGTTCATAGACCTGTATTACTGATCTCCAGGCTCCTTCCTTCTTAAGATAAATTAGGTTATATTATAAAATTATATTGTAAGCTTGACTAAACTAAAATTACAAAAACTAAAATTTAAATTTAACTTTAAAACCATCTAAAATTTTACTCTCAACTACTGATGAATCGACCCAAAAACAAGTTCGTTGTTAAGTAATACTTAGACTGCAGCCTTTTTCTACAATTAATCGGCACTAATTCTCATATTCTTCACAATTACTACTAATTCTCAAAGTACAGTGAAATGTCTAACTAACTGCTCAAGTGGTGTGGGTTTGATTTTTAATATCTCATCATATCTTGTTTTGTGCTGAAAACAAAGCATCAGTATAAACAGGATGTATTGTCCCCTATGAACTCCTAAGGATATTTTACTAGCTATGATAGGCAGACTATTTAAGCAGTCGCTTAGGCCCATAAGACTGCTAGTCACCTTGAAGTTAATGTCTAAGTAATACTGCAATCATGAATTATTTTTTTTGTAGGCATACGGCCCACCTGATAGTAAGTGGTCACTGTCGCTCATGCACGTCAGCAATGCCAGGGGCAGAGCTGAGCCATTGCTTACCATGCTAAATAGCAGAAGTGATCGCTGATTTGAAAGTGGTTAGGGCATGAATTCAACTGTCCTGTAGAATGATAAATGAGGGTACCACTGCGGACAGATCTAGAAACTAGAAGCAGTAGCTTGACAGATAGGAACTGAACAAACTAACATTAAGATCATCTGATCATTAGAAAACCATATATCATTGCAGATTTCCAATCAAACAATTCAACATTCCAAACGTCCATGGTCCCTCCGGAGTATGGCCCCGACTTTGTGAACAAGGCCATCGAGAGCTCAGCGTTCAGCGGTGACTACATAGACCTGGATGACCACCTCATGCCCCACATTGACCCATTGTTGACCATCAAGCACGAACTGTTGTCCCGGCCCGCCTGGGAGCCGCCCATCATTACCACACTGTACCCGCCTTACTATGAAGACGTCGCAGACTCCAGCAGGCTTTCCATCATGAACACCGACATATACTAATGCAGTATGTTTGGTGAGCACCAAAACATTGCTACGTTTTATATTTGCACCCATTAAATTGTATTTTCAGAAGATTTCATAGTTATAATAAATAAAAAAAATATATTTTACGGTTTATGGTTACTACATATTACTACAGCTTGAGTGTAAACCGGACGTCAACCGAACAAATGAGAATGAATTAAACCGTAAAATTGTTTTTTTTTTTTAATAATTTGTTAACTTTACATTATTCATTATTGTTGTCTCTCTATTTATAGATTGTAATAATTGATTGTTGATTAAGAACATTTGTGCTAACCATAGTAATGTGCGGGGGACCACTCCTGTGCACTTGACAAGCTAACCATTTATACCTCTAAGACGATTTTTCAGTCTTCAGTTCAATTGATAAACAGTAGTTATTATTTATCACAGATTTCAATGTTTCTTTTTTATTTTCATTAACAAAACAATCTGATTGTCCATGGTTTTTCATTTAAAGACAGGTTTTGTTTAGGCCAATTAACACAAAGTTAAAGATGTTGTAGATATAGTAGGTTGACCGACTTTTTTTTAGTATTGCTAATTAAAATCTGATGTTCGAGTCTGAGGATTGGAAAATCGACTACAAATGTTAAAGGTTCATAGTATTTCTAATGGCCAAATGATATTCGCATCCAATAATATTGTTATACATAAAAATATATATTTACGATATTAAAATGGATATGTACTTGTTATTTATAAATATTTAAGTAAAAGAGAATATATACATTTTCTATATATACAGTATTTACACAAATGATACATAGTATAAATAAAAATATCATTTGGTCCAATTTAATAGCTACCTCAAACGAATAAATATATTTACACAATACCTCAGTAATCCATAGGAAATATATTTTAATGTTGATAAAAGTACATTTTATAATATAGAACCCACCAAATGATAGTGTGTTAATGTTTTGTAATCATATACATAACCACGCTACCTCATGTTAGTATAAGTCGCTAAAGTAATTCATTATAAAGTATTAACTCTTTGTTTCACAAGGTGATCTGCGAATTAAACGTCAAATAAAGCATTTGATATTTTAGAAATGTTATAATATTTTGTTCGGTTAATACTGCAGGGGTATAAACACATTCTGTGTTGCCAAGATCACACGAAACCTGTGAAATAAAGGGTTGACGCACATGAAGAAACATTACCTAATAGCTGTAGAGTCGTAGTGCCATTTAAACTTAATTTTGGCATCCTTATTAATACCGAGTGCGGATAACCGATTTTCGTATTGGACATAACGGGAACGGATGTGACGTGCTATCGAGTACTTGGTGTTATCGATTCGTTTTGACGGTTACGATTTCTTTTCCACTTTAAATTGCGAGCACGTGTAAAAGACATGTTTTGTCATTTTCGATTTTCGTTATTTGATTTTACTTTCTACTTTTTTTTTTTCGATCCAAAGTCTTAGGCTATAGGCGACGAACAAAATTGTTTGCTTTTGTATATAAGTTACTTGCGGCACTTTTAAATAATCGCATTTCGCTTGCTTTTTCTCGGGGCCATCGTCGATACGAATACGACGACATTGCTGGGAACGTTGCTGGCAACACTTAATTTCATCTCGACTGGAGCACGATGCGACCGTAAACATATTTGTGGGAACATCGATATTAGATCACGTTGTAGTGTCGTGACCCGCTGTTTTTATTCACAAACTATCGACGTTCCTGCTATGGAGTGACGTTCGCAATATCGATATTTACAAATTAACTTCAAACAGCCCACACGTCACAGCAATGTCAGCGTTTTGATGCATTTGAAAAAAAAATCGATTCCTTTTTATTCTTATAATTTTTTTTTATTTTTTTTTATAAATAATCTCGATGCAAAGCATCTAGATGTTTAGCGTAAGTGAATCGATAGTGCTGTGATATTTTTAATGTAAATTAGTTTTATAAGAGTGATGATTGTAATGTAAAGATTGTGTACAAACCGTTGTTATTTGATATGATAATAATGTTCAGGGATTCAGCCGGAATTATCGTCCCGGTACGTTATAGTTTTGACAAGTTTATTGTCAATACTCGTCGGTGTGCACTCACCGCCCGGGACGGACACCCAGTGACAAGGAAATAGGATAAGCAATCCGCTGCGGCCTTCCGGACCTTCCGGGACGCCTCGACCGCCGCGTGCACGTGCGCACTCGGGCGTGCACGTGTGCCACTTAAACACGGATGCGAAAGTTCATTAGCAGATCGATGAGCTTTCAAACTCTGCTTATGAAGGGCCGCAGCGACAAACGAGTCTTTAAATGCAAAATACCACCGTTGGTGTGACCGCCGAGACGTATGTAACGACAAAAAAAAAAGAAAAAAAAAAGAATTTCAAAAACGATAGAAAGATGTTTTTGTCTCCGAAATATATTTTGGGGAGAAGTATTTACAAGTATGAAGAGAGCTGTCTTAGTGATAAAAGTATCCAAAGACTGTTAGGTATTTTATAAAGTTCTTTGAACTTGAAATTTGACTTATAAGTCGGGGATATAAAAATAAAAAAAAGATATGCGGATGGCGATTTTAACGAACGAATAAATTAATGAAATAGATATTCAAACGTAGCTAACGGACGAACTTTACGAGCTTTGACACGACTACGACGCAGGAATGTCTCCGACGGACGCGGACGGCTCGCCCCCCCGCGGGACCCGCCCCCCGCGGCGCCCACACGGAGCGCTGGAGTCACGAGCCTCCATGCTTTTGAAATTACAAAATTTTCTAATGTTTTCACGGCTCAACTAATTATAGAGGGATTTTAGTATTCATGTAGAGATGAACGAGTATCGATTGATTTCCTCCCGATTCGATATCGATTCATTCACGATTGCGGAAACTGGACGTCTCGCGTATTTATTTGAGCGGTGAAAAACACACACGATAACAACACGCTAGATTGGTTCCTCCTTTCGAAAATTATGCGGTAGCCGATTCAATTGAATCCGATGTATCGATGGAAGACAATGCCGATTATACGATATTAATCGACGAGTAATTGAACGTGATTGTTCGGCATTAGAGGCTACCGCTTTTAAAAGCTGTCGATCGAGTGCGAGCTTGCGACAGTACATAGTAATTATCTATAGCATTAAATACAATTTAATATGTGTTGTGGTCCTCAGTAGAGGCTTTCATTGTTTCAATATAAATAGTAATTATTCGATACATTCTCTAATCATTAAAAAAATATATACCAATTTTTAAATTTCGTTGCAAAGGGAACAACGCAGGTTTTCATATTCATTAAACTACAAACAGTTTGAATAATTAAATGATGCAACTGTATCGATACTGGTTTGTTATTCGAAATTAACGACCCGAATCGAAGTATCGACATGCCTGTAAACGTGGACAAGCTTGTATCGATTTTATAACATCGATGTTCGAAGAAGCGAATGAAAATATTTCCATTGCTCCTTTTGCGACCGTATGTGTCCCTAGCTTTTAGGCGTTAGAAGTGTGTTGAACCCCGCGTTATCTCACTTGTGTGAATGATTCCGAATTTGTGTTCTCACACGAACACATATCGACGAGTGAAAGGAAATTTCGCTTAACACGCGACATTTATCTTGGTAATTAAAAGTCCGTTATATTTCGTGTTAGTATCAACAGTTCGATATTTTTAATTGAATTTCAGTTTAAGTTTCAAATACTTGGAGATTTTTTTTCTTATGATATTATTTCCAAATTTTAAATATTACACGGCTGTCCTGTTGCAAAAATTTCGCTTAAATCAAATAACTTCACCCGTCGATATGCTAGAGATCCATTTAGACAGATCTCCATAGAGATAACTTGAAAGTACGTAGGTACTAACTCGAGCGATTTACATAAGGGGTTAAACACACGTTAGGTTAGATTCGAACACAGGGTATTGTGGTTCTATTTTAATGGAAGTGTTATTTGATAACTGATATGTAAGCTATATAAAGCATCTGATATCTGACGATTGCATAATACTACCCCAATACCCGAAAAGTGTACAAATAAAAATAATAAAAGAGAAATTTAGATCAACTATAATTCTGTCTGTTTTTAAAATTAAGTATTTACGACCGGGTTTCGAAGCTTAAAAATGTTTGTTCGTTTAAAACGTTTATTACAGAAGGGACGCGAGAGATTCGAATTGAAAAAAAAACTACAAAGAAAATGAATGTCGTTCTAGGCCCGGTCCGCGTTATTTGTACTAAGCTAAATAAATTCATTACAAAAATTCGTTTAGTGAATATTGCATAATAAAATTTAATGAATGTTAGTGTTTACTTTGAAGTTAGTCGGACGTGGACGCTTACAGTATTGTGTCAAATTTATATAAGTACAAAATCGATTCTCCTGTCAATCGATTTAATGTCGATAAGTTGTAATTTTTCGTCACATCTCTTTTTTGTTTTTTAAATTAATTAGGCTTATTTCTAGTTATACACAAACCGATTCGTTAGAATAATTTTGTCAGATGAAATGTGGATTTATCAATTATTTCAGTAAAATTAGATGTTTAAAATAGTTTTGTTTAGAAGAGGCCTAAAACTGTTGTTTATTGCAAGTCTCCTTGTAAAATACTTTTAATAGAAATCAAGGTCCGGGTGATCTTTTGTTACGATAAATATCGTTTGCTTTAAAGTTTCCGAGATTTGATATAAGAATAAATATATTTAAGGAGAAGCAATTGCATTTTGCACGCTTCAAGCTTCTTCAATTGTGTATATCCTAGGCCGTTACGTTTGTACGTATGCATATTAATGTCCTTTAACCCACTTAGATTTTTGGGATTCATTTTCTTTTAATATCCGTTAATTAAGGAAGTTGTTTTTGTAAGCGTAATAGTAATAGTTTAAGGTTTGTAAACTTCACAGGGAGATGTACGGCTAATCAAAATTCACACAATCGAAACAACATGAAACTTTCACACGTCGATTTCCTAAAAACGATATTTAAAAAGATACGCTTTAGAATGCGTACTCGAAATGTGATATCAATTTTGATTCATTGGAAAGATGTTTTCGGGAATGTTGTTTTTAGCCTGCTAATCTGTGGGCTTAGTGCGAGTCTTTTAACGTTCTCGATAGCGTAAAAGTTAACTCAATTTTGCTGGAATGTTTGTCTGCGTTTGCCGCTAGGGGCGCTGTTTCACGTGCATACAAATTCGAGTTAACTTTTACGCTATCGAGAACGTTAGATAGTGTTTGCGTTTCGATGGTAGATGTCGCGTCGTCTCCCGTGAAGTTCAGTTGTTAGTAAATGTACCGAACTACCTCTGCATGCCTCCTGGGACGACAGTAAACTAATTATAGTGTTTGTTATTATTGCTATGTAACTTTTACACATATATACTACTACTACTACTACTACTACATATGTTTATTATAAATTAATAGTTAAAAAAAAAACATGCTAATTTTAAGTAAAAAAATAGTCGAAGTAAATAGAGAAAAGAAAAAAGTGTAAGAGAAAATTAGCGCGAGACAACAGTGTGCGCGGCGCGTGTTTTCGGTTTTATTGTAATTCGCTAATGAAACTCTGTTTGGTATTTTGAGTCTATACATAATAAACAATCTGATTAGTACGAATTGACGGTTTTATTTATCGACATTGTTCTTTTTTTTATTGCTTAGGTGGATGGACGAGCTTACAGCCCACCTGGTGTTAATTAGTTACTGGAGTCCATAGACATCTATAAATAACGTAAATGCGCAACCCACCTTGAGATATGAGTTCTAAGGTCCAACCCTTCAAACCGAAACTGCTTCACGGCAGAAATAGGCGGGGCAGTGGCACCTACCCGTGCGGACTCACAAGAGGTCCTACCACCAGTCAAGGATTAAAGGATTGTTTAGTTGTAGTTAGCTCGCGTCGCTCCTCGGTTGTACGATTCCTGTTTTGCAACCGTCGGAGCAATGTACATCCTCACGACGACCTTCATTAACGCCTCGAGCGCAAACCGTCAATAGATCGACTCTGTTAATGTGTATAAAGTGCGGAGCGTCGGAATATCGACTATTTGCGCAGTTTCATTATAGGACGTGCCTTAGCGTGCGCACATTCAGAATAACCATTTAAAATTATTTTGCTGTGAATTTAGCATTGGTTTTTTAAGAAAGTTTGTCTATGGTACTTTTTTCAAAAATCCTATAGCGTTTCCTGCAAATTATATGAAAAAAAGATCAGCACTAAAATGGTTAAATTAGATCCAATAAGTATCTGAAGACAGCGTCAGAACACTTCTTCGACAAAGCGGCGCCACTCGGATAGCCATAATAAGTGTTGACGGTCGATGGTCATGATATCGACGACCGACTCCCCCACCCCTCAGTATTGGCGTAATAAAATTGAAATACAAAAACAATAAAACAATTAAATAGGTAATTATGTTTTATTTACCATCAATACGTATCTTATTACTACAAAATTATCTAGAACTGACTTAAGATATACTCGTACAGATGGCGTATCTAGTGAAAATATATGAAATAAGAAATTCTGAATGCATATTATGAATAGCTAACGAGTAAAACAGTATTGATAACGGAATAATATTGATTGATCGAAAAGCTATTTTAATTTCTAAATAGCGCTCTTAACAAGTTGATTAACAAAATAATTCAAAACTATTTCAGCGTCTCTAGAGGAAGCCACTATAGAATCCACTAATGTTACCTCGATACAATCCAATGAAATGTTTTTTCCGCCAAAAATTTATCTGATTCTATACTTAACTGACTAGACGTAAAAAATTAAGACGAAAATTTTACATTTTTCAACTCACTCAGTCTTTTGTACTAAAAGCAGTTTTTGAAAGCGCTGATTGAAATATCGTATATCGATAGTTTAAATCGATACCGAGATTTCGATGGTAAATATAAAAAACGAAATTTTCGTCTCGATTTTTACTCCGAACCAAAAAATATTGAAGTTCCTTTTTGAATTCTGTTTTAATAATTTTCATGAAAAATATACAAAAATCGTGTAGCTTAAAACTAATCTGTGCTTATGTACAACGCTCCGCGCAACTACACTGGATAATTCAAAGCAAGAAAACCCAGTTTCTTGACTTTAAAATTTATTAATAGTGAAGTTCCGGCGCATTAAGAGAACAATAAAAATTTAAGAATTATTGTAACAAGTGGACTGGCCGCCACATCAGTACTTTATATTGCTTGGTGTTTAGTTTTAAATTCAGAATAAACTTTTTTCCATTCCATTTTATTTTTTTTCATCAATATGTCAATGTTAGCTTCAACGAATGTAGTGTTTTATAATCTCGACTTCTAAAATTTAGAAGTATTTTCACCAGGAAATTTGGCTCCGTGAGTTAATTTTTTATGTCTTTACTCTTATAGAACTACCGTTACAGTCAAATCGGGTTTAGTAAGAGAATTCCATTCGTTTTTTTTTATTATTTATCAAATGCAGCAAATATATATAAAAAAAAAACAAATTGCGATAATTTCGGTATAAACTTTAAAAAAATTCGCCTTTTAATTACAATTAATTGATATATAAGCGTTCGCATCATCCGACATGAATCTCGTTGGTTATTTATGGAGTGTAACTACTAAAACGCATATAGTTCTTGGATAAATGATCACGATTCGTAAGTATTATCAACTTTAATTCCGCAAATCAATCACTTTTCACACCAACATTACATTATAATTAGAATCGATAATCAAAATGATATCGATTAATCGTTCCACAATTATCGACTTTTAATACATTTCGTTAGGCGGTTCACGCCGTCAGAGTTCCGTTCACTAGTTTCCTACCGAACACTCTGGCGCTGGTGGCCTTCTTGGGCGGCGCCTTCGCCTTGGGGCGGAGACTGGGGATTTGCGACACTTTAATGGCGATGGCAGACTTCTGTTTGAGGGCGGCGGGCTCGTGCGCGGGCGCGGGCTGACCCTCAAACGTCGAGCTCCTGATCAGCTTCCGAGCCTCCGGCTTCTCACTCTCGATCCAAACTCTTTTGTCAGCTTTTGCGGGTAGTTTCTTAACCTGTTCAACTTTTTTCCACAAATTAGCGATTTTGCTCTCAACGTCTCTCGTCTTCGTGGAGTTGACGCCGGTCGCGCTGGCGAGCGTGGTGTGGCGCGACGCTATGGTTATCGTCTTGCCGCTGTCGTTGCTATGGAGGCTGTGGTTCGACGGAGAATTCTTCATAGCGGGTTCAGGTTTCTTGGTGACTTTGCTGGGAGGTTTTTGTGTCTTCGTGGTTGGCGGGCGGGTGTAGCGGCCCGGCTGCGGCAGTCGCGACGGGGAAGTGTTCGCGGGCGTCGCTGACGCAGCTTTAGTGAGCTTGGGAACGTTCATCTTCTTGTCTGGAGCGGGTAGATCTTTGGCCGGCACCGTGCTCTCTTCCTTCGTGAAAGTGCCCTGCCGTTCCAAAGGCAGAGGTTTTGTAGCGGCGGGTGGTGCGGCCGCCGGTCTGTGCACCGCCGCCTTCGTAGGAGACTTGTTCGGGATCGATTTTTTCGGGGACGTGTTGGCGCTTGGGGGCCTGGAGGGGGCTTTGTGTGGGGCTCTGGCGCCGGCGTGGGCTTTGGCAGCCGACTGCGGTCCCTTCGCTGAAGGTACGCCCTTAGGGGTTACCTTCGCCGTCGCGGCCGCCGGCGTCCGGGGCGCCGGTGCACTGCGCCTGTACGGAGACACGTAGGCGGCTTTCTTTCTCCCTCTAATAGTTTTGGGCGGCTCCGGCTCCGCGCCGAGGGACTCGTTGGAGTCCAGGCTGTCGTCTCTGCGCGGGTCCGGTTTCGTTATCTTAGGTTTAGGTCTGGGCTCGCGGTCGGCGTCCGGGCGCGGCCTGTCCTCCGCGGCGCTGTCGCCTTCGTAGCTGGCGGAGTCGCTGGTGCTCGGGTGGTGCGCGCGGGACAGCCGGTACGAGGCGGTCATCTCGATGTTTTTGAGGTTGTTGACGACGCACAGGTCGACGGCGGCCGGGCTCTCGGTGACCGGCAGATAGTTCCGGAAGCTCCTGGTGTAGGTCTGCATCTGGGCGGAGTTGAGTTCGGAGTCGTCCGCGCGCTCGTCCAGGACCAGCTGGTGGGCGAGCTCGGCGGACGAGAGGCTGTCGTAGCCGGTGGTGGTCTCGACGTTTTCGAAGTTGGCATCCTTGGTGACGAAGGTCGGGGAGGGCGGGATGTCCTCGCTGAGCGTCCTCGTTCTAAACCTCTCCGCGTCTTCTAAACGTTTCTGTTTCATCGTCTTCTTGGCCGCGAGTCTTCGCTTCAAGCTCTCGATTTCCGGATCGCCGGATCCCCCTCCCGCCCCCCGCGCCCCCCCGCCGAGGATGTTGACGGTTTGCGTTTGGTAGCGGGCCCGGTCCTCCATCCTCCTCTGCTTCGCGCTGAGTTTCCTCTTGGTCCTCGTCTCGCCGGGGACGGGCGCGTATTCGTCGGAGCGCTCGCTTTCTTCAGACTTGGTCCAGGTCAGGAACTCTTCTTCGACCTCCAGCACGACCGCGTCTTCCGTGACGGCATCTCCGTCGACTATCGTGTACGTCTGGTAGCGGTCTTTGGACATGAGTCGTTTTTGTTTGGGAGTGAGGTAGCTCGGGTCCCGCTGTCTCTTTGGCGAGGACTCGATGCTGCTGCCGTCGGAGGGCGGCGCCGGGAGGGGAGGGTCCGTGCCGACACTCGCGGCGGCGGGGGGGCACTCCGCGGGCTGAGCGGCCGCGTGTTCGAGTTCGCTTGTCGATTCTGTCATCTCGTTGAAGAGAGAAGGCGGATTCACTTTATCTAGATCGTGGTATACGAAGGTTTTACAAAGGGGAAATTCAAAGACAGGTTGCTTGAGGTCGAACACCAGAGGAGTTTTCACCGAGACATCCGCTACCTCGGATATTATACTCGCCACGGAGACCATGCTGCCTTCCATCTCCAAGTTCTCCATCTCGGAGGGAGGCTTTACATTGTCGAGGAAGCTCACGGGGTCGCTCTCCAGGTGCTCGGAGGTGTCGCGGTGTAACGAGTTCTTGAGGGCCCGCTTCATTAAGGAGCCCGGGAGAGACTTCTTCCGGTCGCGCGGCACGTGTTCCGGCGGCAGGGCGGACGTGCTCAGGGACAGCAGCGAGGGGGGCTCGCCCTGCAGCGCGGACAGTCGCGCCGCCAGCCGCGCGGCCTCACGTTCGATGGCTTCGGAATCTAGCTTGGAGTCTTCAGAGGCTTCGTCGAGGAGGGAAGCGAAGCTAGGCTCGGGCACGCTGTCCAGCATGGCGGAGTGCAGACAGAGAGTGAGGTCGGGGCGCGTGGCGTGCGACAGGGGGGCGGCGGGCAGGAGGTCAGGAGGGCGGGGGCGCGCGGGAGGGGCGCGTCCGCCGGCGAGCGCGCGAGGGGGGGGAGGGAGGCCGGCGGGCGCGGGACCGTTTTTTGCCTGCGCGGGGGCAGGAGGTACGTGGGGATCAGGAGGGCGTCGCGACATACCGGCGCGGACGTAACGTTCGAAAACCTCTTTATCAGCGGAGCTGAAGAAATCATCGTGTGGAGGGGAGGAACCCGGGGGAGGCCGGCGGGCCATGCCGGCTCGCACGCAGCGCTCGAACACCTCCTTGTCGGTGGAGCCGAAGGAGTCGTTGCTGAGCTCCCCGGCGGAGGAGGAGGAGTCCCGGTGGCTGGCCCGGGCGGCGCCGGCCTTCACGGTTTCCTCGAAGATCTCTCGGTCGGTGGAGCCGAACGACTCGAGGCTGAGGGAGCTGAGCGAGTCGTTCCGCGCGAGGTTGCTGGGCGCGGCGTGCCTCGAGCGTTCGCGGCCGCCCTGGGATTTTACAGGCAGACGACTTTCGTGTTTACGGCCTAGAATAGGAAACAAAATCATATTAGGAACATTATTATATTAATAATGTAACAACACTTACATTGTTATGTTAAGTTAATCTTTGAACCTTTGGATAAACGTATAACTCCAAATATTCACACCTGACTTGTAGTGACCTCTCCTTAAAACATTACTTGTGCGGGCCTTTGTCTTATTATAAATAACACATCTTTAATATTTTAAACGAGGACTGAAACTACTGTATGTACACAAGTTTATTTTTCTACTTCGCCAAGCATGAGCGACCATCCTGATGATAGCGGTAGTGACATTGACATGTATGACGTCACGCGCTTAAATATCAACCAGGGCATCGTTATAAAAAAAAAACGTTAAAAATCCAATCACTATTACTATTAAGATTAATAATAATTATGAAGAGTAGTATACTCACGCTCGTCGTGCGTGGGGGGCCGCGGGGGCGCCTCGAGCCTGCCCTCCTTGGGGGGCAGCGGGGGCGGGGGTGTCGGACTGCGACTGAAATAGAAAACCGTGTCCCATAAGGAACTTCGTTCCAAAAAATAAAAATAAATATAATCAAAATATTAGTTTTGGAGATGCGGCACGCGCCCCGCGCCCACGGCCCACGGCAACACGAACCTGTCGCGCACGTTCCTGGCGAGCTCGTGCGACATCTTGACGGTCTCCGTGGAGGAGCGCAGGCAGGCCGGGAGCGACCTCTGGAAAACACAAGTTAAAGGTCGGTTAGGAACATAACAAAAAGCCGTGAGTTAGACGGTATGTTCATTATATAAAGTTATTTACATATATATAGTAATGAATGACCACTATAACACGGTAGATCGGTTCCGCGTTATAGGAAACGCGTTGCAGGAGTATTCTCGGATAATGCGCTTGTATAATTCACATAACGCTTTATATAAAAATATAATACATATAAAATATTATATAAGGTACCCAATATTTTTACAATTCAAAAACTATGAACACAAATTTAATAAATACATTTAATTTCATTTTTTAACAACACGATTGACACCATTGGGCAAATGTACACAAAATTAATTATGAACTGTACAAATCATTACAAATTCCACAATCTATACAGAAATATAAATTTTGAAACTTCCGCGTTATATGGGGGAATACCCGTGTTATACGAGATATTGAGATCGCGTAATGTGAAAACGCATTACTTATAACGCGTATACTCTTAAGTACCGTGTTATAGGGTGTATTACTGTATGTATAATTTTGGTTTAAATATTTTAATTTTGTACTAGAAAAAGAACTTATTATAGATTTTATAGATTTTGTATCAGCACTCGATTAGCCAGAAGGGGGTTTAAGAGGGGACCATTTGAGGGTTAACAGTTACCGTCGCTCTTCTGGCGCGGGACAACAATTGAAATATAAGCAAACTCACGTAGACTTCATCCCTGTAGGGGTGGCCGGAGGACACGTCCGATGAAGGCCCTTTGTTCTTGACGACCTGGAAACATTACGAGTGTAACACGTTTACGGTTGAAAGTCGTGTGCATACGTTTAAAAAATTTCATGGACACGCACAGGTTTTTTTTTTATTTTTAGTAAATACTATTAAATAACGAATGACACACACACACACACATATAAACTCTATTCATTGTCAAACTTTTGTTATTGCTTATTCTGTGGTCAAATTGAGAATAGGTTATTATTGTTTATCTTTAATATTATTTGCTTGGCGAAATCAGTGAATAAAGAAGTCTATTAAGTCTTTGACAATAGAACCTTAATAATGTTCAAACTTATAATTACAATTAATTATAGTCGAATCTCGACTACTGCGGGACTAGTAGTTACTACAAACATTTACGATTTGATCTCATAATCTATATTTGTCTGTGAGTTCTAAGTAAGTCCACTTAGCAAATATTGACTGTTCAGTACGTATGTGTGCACACGTATGACGTCAGCGGGCGCCGCACCTTGGCGATCCCCTTCTGTATGCACTCCTCGAGCAGGTCGGCCGCGTCGCTCAGGTTGGAGCTGTCCGAGGTGTGTCCGTCGGAGGGCGCGGCGGGGGGCGCGGGGGCGGAGTCCACGGACAGCGCCGACAGGTTGCTGTTGCTGCCGGCCTTCGACAGTATCGCGGGCGTGTCCTCGGTGCAGTACACTCTGCACACTTCGCTCGGGGTTTGATTCCCTGTAAACGACATTATAATTGAATATGCAATTTCGAAAAGGGCACATGTCGCATATTTTGTCAAATACGTTTTTTCATATACATGTAGTTTTGAGGCTTACCTACACCCATTTTATAATAATTCAGTAATTTTCAATTCCTAATTAACACTAAAATATATCTCAAAAGTTAATATTTTAAATTTTACACTGCTTTACAAAATAATCAGTTTTTGTCATTTCCTGAACATTTTACATTTTCTGAGATGTGTCCTTTTCCAAATTGCATATTCAATTGAAGACATGAGTGGATGATGCGGTTAAGTATCATTTTTAAATTTCTACATCGAATGAAAGTGTTATGTGCTTATAAAGCATATTAGACCTTAAAGCTCCGGGATTAAAGGCTATTTATTACGCGCTGGTGTTCGGGATAAATTAAAATTCTACCGACGTATACATTGAAACTGTATTAACTCTTAGAATACTTAAAACACTCAACGAACACATTAAAATTCTCAATTCGCTAGTTCAGCTTCGCTTCAGATGACCCGTTCGCTGTTTCGCTTCGAGTATTTCCGATTACTAAATCCCTGCGTGTCATCTCTACAACACTTTTATAGTCGATACCACATCCCTAGATTCGTCAAGTACATTCTGGGCGAGTCAAGTAGCTTGTGTTTCTGGTATCAGACAATAGATGGCATTGTACTTCTAGATTTTACTAGTACCTTCGATATTCGTTCCGTTATTCGGCGATAGATGGCATTACTCTTACCGGCGTAACACTAATTTTAGAAATTGCACGTGATAAAGGAGTTGTATACGAAGAAATAGTACAAGTAACAAAAGTTCTTTGCCTGTTTTCTCAAAATTAACAAATTGTATCATATCCCCCTCATCCCCTCGTGTCTTCAATTGTAAGGGCGTTTTTAATTTTAACAAAACAAGCAAAAGCAGTGAAAAGAAATCACTTTATTAGGATTTAAGGGGTAATTGGGAGGGAATGTTCTGACCCTTTCCATCAGAATGTGTATCCACATCTGCAAACAAGCAACCCAGAAAGCACTGACAATGCGATTTAAAAACTTATAAGCTATTTTAGAAACCTTAATTCTATTAATGCGACAATAAATCAAGAAATTAAAATTTAAAATCATTAAACAGAATCAAACAACCCGAATATGTATTCGTTCTTTTGTTTTGGCCTCAAATGACGTCACACGTAGTAAAATTACGTTCGGTCGACTTAAGAAAATTTCTCGCGCCACATTTGGAATAATGAGTCCATTTTCCAAAATTTTACATAGAAAATTCTACTCACCTTTCGTTAATAAATTCGATGTATTCGTCGATGAAGGTAGAGGATTGATTTGATCTCTGAAACGGAAAGAAAACCTCCAGTGAATACATTAAAAATTATTACAATATATTTATATTTATTGGCAATGCCAGGGCCTCACTCAGGTCGCTGCTTCCCGCGGAGTGCTGTCTGCAAGTCTCAATCGAGAATTTACAGTTTACGTATTTATACATTTTTAGTATTCGCCGATGGTTTTTTTTGTTATTTATTTTTATTGCTTTAGATGGGTGGACGAGCTCACAGCCCACCTGGTGTTAAGTGGTTAGTGGAGCCCATAGACATCTACAAGATGAATGCGCCATCCACCTTGAGATATAAGTTTTAAGGTCTCAAGTATAGTTACAACGGCTGCCCCGCCCTTCAAACCGAAATGCATTACTGCTTCACGGTAGAAATGGGCGGGGTGGTGTTACCTTACCCGTGCGGACTCCCAAGAGGTCCTACCACCAGTAATTATGCAAATTATAATTTTGCGGGTTTGTTTTTTATTACACGATGTTATTCTTTCACTGTGGAAGTCAATCGTGAACATTTATTTGTTGAGTACGTATTTCATTAGAAAAATTGGTACCCGCCTGCGGGATTCGAACACCGGTGCATCGCTTCAACACGAATGGACCGGACGTCTTATCCTGTAGGCCACGACGACTTAGACCCCGACAATGATAATATACGTATGCTTACCTAATTTCGTTCTTCTGTATCATGTCTTCGGGATCATTCTCGAGCGCCGAACAGTTTTGATCCTCCAGTTTTTCGTTTCTCGAGAGTAGCTTCAGCGATTGCTGCCGGAGTGACGTAATCAATTTTGATCAAATCCAATCAATTAGACATCACGTATATAATGGGTTTAATGCCGAGCTTTAGGAATACAGGTAGCCCTCCTATAACACGGTAGATACGGTAGAGTTCATCCATACGACCTGGAGCTCTTGGCTCTGCCCCTGGCATTGCTGACGTCCATGAGCGACAGTCACCACCCACCATGAGGTGGGCCGTATGCTCGTCTGCTATATGGTAATAAAAATAAAAAAAACTTTCCAACAAAGACCGGTGTTGTGCGTGACCGTGTTATATGAGACAGAAGCCAGTACAAAAAGGAGAGGATACTATTGTTGGGCCTTTCGATATTCTAATTTGCGGGTAGGTTGCGCGTCAACAATGTAACAATTGAGGGAAGGGGACCGGGGTAACAATTGAGGAAGGCGGGGGGACGGGGGATAACAATTGCGGGAGGGGGGCGGGGGTAACAATTGGGGGAAGGGGCACGGGGGGAGGACTGCAGCGAAGAGTAGTGGCCTTTGCTCTCCCCACAGACGTTAGAGTTACATAGGCTAGGCTAGTTAGACCTGGTGAGTCGTACCACTTAGTTAGTATGTTAGCTATAACATAGATTAGTGAATCAGTTTTAAGTTAGATACATAATAAATTAGAGTTAACTCTTACGCTATCGAGAACGTTAAAAAACTCGCAGTAAGCGCACTGACGCTACAACAGCGGGACGTACCTTGTTGTGCCTGTCCTCGTCGTCGATGGTCAGGCTGCTGAGGCTGGTGTTGGCGGAGAACTGGGCCGGGGTGTGTTCCACCACGAACCGGGACACGCGCTCCTCAAACACCGAGCCCGCGCACTCCGCCCCGGACACCTCTGTGACAGACACGTCAGATACACAAAGTTCTCTGTGATCCCGGATGACCGTGGGGATAATTTTTTTTTTATTGCCCTTGTAGGCAGACGAGCATACGGCCCACCTGATGGTGAATGGTTACCGTCACCCATGGACTTCAGCAATGCCAGGGGCAGAGCCAAGCCGCTGCCTACCGTTTAAAAGTATAGAGTTTCCGAATAGGATTTATTTCGACAATAGTTATTTGTGCGATTGCATGCAGCAGAGTTGCGAATGTAGCGATGGATGTGTGGAGTAACGAGAACGGATAGAATACGGAATGAATATGTTAGAGGAAGTCTGAAAGTGACACCTGTGACAGAGAAGCTGCTAAGTGCACGTTTGGGATGGTATGGACATGTGATGAGACGAAATGAAAATGAGGTTGATAAGAGAGTGTTAACTATGAATTTGGAAAGATATAGAGAAAGAGGTAGATCTAAGAAGAAATGGATGGATTGCGTGAAAGACGATATGGGTAAGAGGGGAGTAAGTGAATAAAATTTAGCGTTATGCCAAAGTAACTATTCGACGCGGACGGAGTCGCGGGCAAAGGCTAGTTGGTTATAAAATTAAATTGGTGGATATTAAAAAGTAAAGTTTCAATGATGAGGGCGGACGTACCTTGCGGCGGCGAGGGGGGCGCGGGCGGGGGGCGGCGCGGGGACGCGGGGGCGCTGCCGCCCGGCGAGTCCGGGATCTCACTCGGAGAGATGCAGCCCGATGTCAGTCGACTGTACACCAAAAGCTTTAAGTTCACGAGGTATTTACTTGCAAAAACACATAGTTTAGGATTTTTTTAATAAGTTAATACAACTAAAAATCATAGTTTTTCCAGCAAGACTCGCAGTGTCGCAGCACAGTAAATAATAACAAAGAAAAAAAGATAGTGGTATTATTATTTATCAAACTATGAATTCGGCTATTTTTAAACAATAATTACACGTTTCTTGAAGACATTACAACCAAACTGTATACAGAAAGCTATAAATTCCGGCAAAAAAATTGGTGCGCGTGCAACTTGGTGCACGTGAAAGAAGTGAAACTTCTTTTTCGGTGTATTGTGATTTTCTTCATTCTTCATCCATAAATCAAATTTCTCTTGTAATAGGGAATGCTGTGTATAAGAGAAACGACCTAGCTCTTCTCTCTCTCCACGGTCGAGTGGTTCGCGAAACGCTGTCTATTTTCTCACCCTCGCTCTTTCTAAATTGTATCCTTTCTCTCTAGCCGTAACGAATCTGTCGCGAGTTAAATTTTACTCTCAACGTGCCGCAAGAAGTTTCACTTCAAAAACAAATTTCTTAGATAACATAGATCCCGAACTCACCTAACTTCCGAGACCACGGAACCCTGGTCGTCCTGCTGGGAGCACTCGGGTAGGGATCCCAACGAGCTGGACCTGGAGAACATGAGGGGCGTGTCCTCGACGAACCGCTGCTGCGGCGACGAGGTCCGGACCGAGGTCTGTCCCGACGTTGCCGCTTGGGTGGCGATCGCTACGGGCTCGCTTGCAAATGTCACCGCTTTCGAACCTAACGGGTATTACGATGTGTACAGTAATAACACGCCCGATGTATCAAGCGATGCGATGCAAGGATTCGTGTTAACAACGTCGTCAGGTTTGAGCCCCGTAAGCTCACCTCCTAGGTAAGGTTACGTTGAAATAGCCTCTCAAGGCTATCAGCTTAGGTAGGAAAAAAAAAACTTGAGCTGGTAGGCTTGAGATGCTATGCCAGCCAGAGTAGGTGATCTCACGGGGCTCTAACCTAAGGACGTTGCTAACAATAGCCCTAGTAAGAGCAGTGCTTCGCTGAATCTACCACCGGATCGGAAACGCGACCCACTGAGAAGATCCGGCGAGGAACTCAGTGAGCTCTGTCTAGAGGGGGGATGCGAAAATACCGTGCTTCAAATATCACAGGCAAGTACTAATCTTTTAAATTAAATACGTTATTAGTATGCATTCACAAATGTGTGTGTAATGAAAATCGTATACATAAAGAATTATATCGAGCGATTCGACTGTGCCGATGTTCGAATCCCGCAGGCGGGTACCAATTTTTCTAATTAAATACGTAATTAACAAATGTGCGCGAATGACTTGCACGGTGAAGGAATAACATCGTGTAAGAAAAATGTAACCCGTAAAATTATAGTTTGCGTAATTAGTGGTGGTAGGACATCTTTTGAGTCCGCACGGGTAGGTACCACCACCCCGCCCATTTCTGCCGTGAAGCAGTAATGCGTTCCAATTTGATGGGTGGGCAGCCGTTGTAACTATACTTGAGACCCTAGAACTTATATCTCAAGGTGGGTGGCGTATTTACGTTATAGATCTATGAGCTCCGCTAACCACTTAACACTAGACGGGCCGTAAGTTCGTTCACTAATCTAAGCAATAAAAACAAAGTAAATATATATTATATTAAAATTGGACCCTAGCTCTTCACGTCCTAAGTGTTGTGTATATAAAAGCCCATTTAAAGTACAACTACAAGATAATTAACTAATTTAATAGCAGCTACATTTTGGTAAGAGGATTCTTTACCTTCTTTGTTGCCGGAACTGCTTGTGTTGGGTTCCGGTGGACTGGGCTCCACGTTGATGGTCGCCATTGCGTTTCTTTTCGCTAAGCTGTCTTCCTCGGTCGGCTCACCAAGACTGCTAAGGGAACTGACCCTTGAAAAGTACCCGGGAGTGCCTTCGTCACAATAATTTACCGGCTTCTCTGGACTTATCATTCCTGAACTGAATTTCGTATCGAAGACTTCTTGTTTCTCAATAATAGGGTCAGGTGCTGATGTTTGGGGAGTTGAAGCAGCTCTGTCGTTGTCATGACGAGGGGGATCCTCGATAGAGCATGTGTCTTTTTCATCAGAGTGCGTCATGGCTTCGAGGTTCTCTTTGACGCACGGGGGCGTTTTCAGCTTGAGCTCTTTACCGATTACTCTAAGATCTGACATAGACGTTGCTGTAGAGAATATGGCTGGCGTTTCGTATGGGGTACCTTCCGTGGCGAAGTGTTTTATTGTGTCTTCGTGGACGGAGGGACCAGGGGGCTCTGATATGTCGGAGCCAGTTTCTGACTGATGTTCAGCATAACGCAAAGAATAGTCTGTGGGTTGATCGAGATCAGTCTCTTGATAGTCCCCAAAGCTAGAGTTCTCCTTCTTGGTATACTTCTTGGTTTCCGCTTTTGGCTTCACGATTTCGCCTTCAGTGTTCTTCGTTTCCGAATATTTCCGACTGAAATCTATGGGTTGATCACAAGAATCCTGGTCGACGTCAAAACCGGTTTCTGTGTAGTTGGGTCTAATTTCAGTCGTACTTCTCGGAGGCGGGACGGGAGGTTGAGACGGGTAACGGATAAAGCTTTCTTTTGCTGAAGATTTGGAGGATTTACATAGATCGTCGCTAGTTTCGCTCTTCATAAGATCTTTAGTTCTTGGCGTCGGTACCGGCACCTTTCCGGTTCTCGCAACTCGCTCGAACACAGAATCCGAATGTGTGCTCGTCACTGAATCTTTGCTGTCCGATTTGTTGACGCTGTTGGCACTTCCTGACGTGGAACGGGTGACCAATGCACCTTTGAGCAGTGTGTTGCTGCAGCTCAAGTAACTAGCCAAGTGTGCGCTGTGACTTAAAGATATCTGTGAGGTCAACGTTCCCATGAGCGGAGAGCTTGAGGTCATTCTGTGCCTTTCCAAATTCATTGCGATTTGTCGTTCTGTTGCAGTGAAAAGATTTTTTTCTTCTCGATTACTGGTGGAGGGAGAAGTCGCTGGTTCGATGTTGTCGCACGTTTCGGCTAAATTTTGGTCTAATTCTTGTTCTAAGGCTTTCTGTTTTCTCGCTCCGAGCGTGGGTAACGCCGGTAAATTCATTGTTCTAGCTGTAGTATCTAAAGAAATGATGTGCGTTTTTCCCGGCTTCGAGTTGAGTAAATTTTTGAGGGCAGCACTTGAGCCCATCGCGATCATTTTATGTTTCGAATGAATGAGACTGCGGAGCATTGGAACCGCTCCGTGATCCCAAAGAAACTGTTGATCTTGTGGACACCTGGCGGACAAGTTCCACAAGGTGCCACACGAGTTACTGACCACTGTCAGACTAGGAGATTTGAGGTGCTGCAGCAAGACACTTAAACAATTTCTCTCCCGGAGAATTTGCCTGTAATCTTCCCGAACGGCGATGTGACTGGACACATTCCTCATTATGCCTCCCGCGTTCTCCACGATAGCTAGCGTTTTCGTTGGTGAATTGTAACTTAGCATGTCTACAAGGAAACCGAGAGCTCCGTCTACAGAACACAAGGCTACTTTGTTCATGGAGCAATGAGCTGTCAGATTCCAGAGCGCTGACAACACAGATTTTAGAGTAGCTTCCTTCTGACAAGTCATTGCCGCTTTCGTCAGGCCTTTAACGGCTCCTACTTCTCTAAGAACTTGCTTACTGTTTGTGTCGGCTCTCCAAGACAGATTTCTGAGCACAGCCGCTGTTACCTGTTGATTGAACATTACATAAAGTTATTCATTGCACTCAACTTTTTCATTTCATCTTCCACTGCCGGTTTTTAAGATTTGTTGGAATGAAATTGCTGGTAAAGCGAGCCTGTAAAGCTACTAATATCTACCGCGGATACCTTAATCTATAGAATTTAAACGAATTTTTATATCTTGCAATCCAATTTGAAAAGTGGGGTAGCCAATTATGGAATAAATTGGGGATTTCGACCTCTGTCCTGATCTGCGTGATGTCTATGTACTCCGATAACTACTCAGCATCACGTTGCCCGGAGTTCGCTTTTCCCATATGTGCAATAAAAAACGGTACACAATTTTGACTTTTAGATTTCCTTGGAAACTTAGACTGGCCTACACTCCGGGTAAGTCACAGGATCTTTATCTTTCTGTTCGGCTGTAAGTCTATCTACTACCTCATTATCTGCCTGGAGTATTGGAATAATATCCTTATTTACCTCTCTTCCTTTAGTTTATAACTTGAGTTTTAAGAATGGGTTGCTTTACGACCCTCTACAAATTACTCATTGTCTTTAAATCAATTATAAGATTGTCTAGTGGAATGGAGAGTTCCACCTCGTGTCTCTAGATAGGCAGCAATGTCAACTCCGGCGTCTATAAGCTCCGGCAATTTTAATACCGTGAGCTCGTATTATGATTTTCGACACTAATATAAAACTGTCACAATTAGTGACCCGATATTTAATGATTTTAAATCACGTTAATTCAGTTATTTTATCAGAGAATGTTCCAGAATTACAATATGATTTATTAAAGAAAAATCACCTGTCGCATGTCGTCGTTGGGCGACTCCAGTTGTTCAACCAGCGCCAACATGAAGTCTTTAAATGAACACAACAACGATTTGTTGTTCCCATCACCGAACGTTAAATTGGTCAAAGTCATTCCCGCGTATTTCCTCATCGTGAGGCAGGTGTTATCATCAGTTCTGCTACCGTGAGCCGTTTGGTCCCCACTAACCAGGGCAGCCAGAGCCTGCAGGCCACCCAGCTGACATACAACGTGCCGGTGCTCTTCATCAAAAGACAGCTTCATCAAAGCAGCAACGCTTTGACTTGGATGTTTCGTTGCGTCATCTTCAATAGCTTTCTTACCTTCCTTTTTAGCTTCCACTACATCCTCTAAAACATAACAATATTCCCTAACTTGTTCTAATAATCTCCACACCCTTGCTTCTCTTCTACCAGCCTTATCATCGGTTTGTGTATGTATTATGTTCCTTAAGGCCTTCGCGGCGCGATCTCTTGTCTCTCTCGATACTTTTGAATGAATTAATTGTACCAATAACGGAATGCATCCAGCTTGCCTCATAGCTATACAGCTCTCGACAGATCGACTCATGTCCAGTAATGGGCCGCTGAGATCTGCATTGTTTTCGGGAGATAGACTTAAAAGTGAAATCAATGAGCATACACATTCCATTTTGTTTTCTAAACTAGAAGAAGTTCTCGGTCCGTCTGTGGATCCGTTGCTAGAAAAACTACGAATGCTAGACGAATCGTGACCAGTCCACACGTCTCGCTCCCCCGGCCACGTTCCTCTATAAAGTTGGGAAGCCCTTTTATCTCGTTCGCTTGACCGTGCTGCACTTTCTAATCTATATTGCAACGTACTTCTGTAACTAGTTCGATGTCGATCTTCGTGGGCCGAATAACTAGTGGTTAACTTTTGCGGTTTCTTGGGCAGAGCTCCGGCCTTCTTTTGTGGATGACTGTCATCGCCATCGACATCGTCATCCAGAAAATTCGGATTGGTTATATCGCTACGTTCGTCAAATTCATCTGGGGATGGCGAATGGTCTAAGAAATGTGGTTTGGGTATGCGACATTCTATGTTTGATTTGGACGGCGGCTGATAGTCTTCGTCAAGAAAATGCGGTCGGCGCCTGTGAGTATCATGTTCCAGGGTCTCTAGTTCTAGGGTTAGGTCTCGTGACCGCGCCTTGTCAGCTGCTTTGAATGGGGGTTTAGATATTTTAGGGTTGGTGCCTTTAGGGTCGGGCAAGCGGCGCGTATCAGGCGAGATAGGGGAGGAGGCACTTAGCCGGCCGCGAGAAGGTTCGCTGGAGGTGGAAGGGGTGCAGTCTTCACTTGCCGATGGGCCGGAGTCAGTTAACGGTGAATTCGAAGAGTCCATACTGCTCCACGGGTCTACCATTACTTCGTTCTCCAACTGAAACAATGTAAAGGAAACTATATTATTAAGAATTTTTGGGAATTAAACAAGCTTGCGAATAAGGTTAAGGCCCTTTTGACTAGTGAGGGTAAACAGCTTAATACGAAAGGTCGAACTGTATACAACGTTGATAATCCGGCCAAGGTCATCTATATTATACCAACCGATGAAGCTTAAAAGCCGTATTTACGCAAGCTTTTTAAAACAACGGTTGCCGGGCGACGACATATGATATCGGGCGACCTTGAGGAGAAATCTTGCATCCGATATTGATTTTTCGACAGTTTTGTACAGTAACAAATAGATCTGAATACCTTTCACAGTCACGGAATACAAAAGAATCTTGAAACTAACGGAAATATGAATCATAATTTTGTAGAAAATCACAAAACCGCAGCGAGAAAGTTTTACGAAATAAAACAAAGAGTATTCCGGTTCATTACACCTCTAGAATGTGGCCGTCTCTTAAAAGCTGTTATATGAATTAAATTACTGATGTTACCGAGGGAAGTGAGTGACGGCTAAATATATTACGCATGTTACGTCATATATGGTAGCGTGAGTCATGTCTAATGGCTGTGTTGTTTATTGGTTATGTTAATGGTTTACCATGGCAGATGAATGTAGACGAACGAACTATTAACAATTAAAGGACAACAATGATTATCCCATAACGCTGTCAGTACATTAATTGAGCTCTTGAATATAGTGGTATATATCAGGAAGCGACCCGAAGCTTTGAGTTTATTTAGATGTTATTTTTTCTAAAGGAAAACTTTCTCTGTCTACTGCACTTTTGATTAATTGTTGTCTGATGATGAACTTTAAGCGATAAGACCGCTCACTGGACTTGCTAATAACTTCCGTTAATGTGAGTTTTTTTTGTGAAGAGTCTACTTCGAAAATACTCTTTAAAACTTAAGTCTTCATTAGTCTCCAAATACGATGTTGAGTACGTAGCTATTTAAAGATTTAAAATAAATGTATTCGATGGTATTTAATACATATTTGGCCCTCAAACACAGAACGAATAGGGGACGGTAAGTTTTAAAATAAATCTTTTTGATGGGAATAGTGCATATTAATGCTCTCGAACGCAGACCAATAGGGGACAGTAAGTGATCACCGTCGCTAATAAAAATCAGGAATGCCAGTAACATAATTAGGTCGCTAAAGATTCTTTTCAAACTTCTTTTAGAAAAAGAACAATTGATTGCGGTGGGGTGAATGTGAATGTGGTGGACATACTGCTTCAAATTACCTCATTATTCACGGAAACCAGATACTGGTGTACATATAGTCAGACTAAGAGTGAATGAGGTCAGTTTGGAGTGGCCATTAGACACGGAACGCAGTATTAAGATTTATTATTGCACTGTAAACTGTGACCTAAATAGTTGTATTGGATTCGCAAACCATTGTTCATACTGTTTTTGCAAAATATACAGAACACATACATTTTAATGCAAATTACAAATAGCATCGGAGAATTTCTATTGCTGTTATTGTAATGTGTTGTGATTGTCAGTGGAATGGAAAGCGAACGCTGAACGCGTCGTACACAATTAAAATGATTTAGTTAAGATTAACCCTTAGAGCGCGAACTATCGATAAATCGAGTCACTGCGTTTAAAGTGAGGAGTGTCGGAATATCGACGGAATGCTTAGTTTGATTATAGGTATAAGGCATCGACCTGTACGACGCGTCATTTTTAATAAGCTAATAACATTTGTAAATAACCATTTAAAATGATTTTGCTGTGAATTTAGCATTGTTTTTTTTTTAAGTTATTTTCAAAAATCCTTTAGCAATTTTTGCAAAATATATGAAAAGCAGATCAGCGCTAAAAGGGCCCACAGACACAGCTCACTGAGTTTCTCGCCGGATCTTCTCAGTGGGTCGCGTTTCCGATCGGGTGGTAGATTCTGCGAAGCACTGCTCTTGCTAGGGCCAGTGTTAGCACAACTCCGGTTTGAACCCCGTGAGCTCACCTACACGCTAGGGTGAAGCCGATATAGCCTTTCAAGGCTATCAGCATAGGTAGGAAAAAAAAAGCTAAAAGGGATAATAACAAATTCCAATAATACGATAAATTTGCTGTCCTTTCGACATTCAAGACTCGTAAGAAGGTCGCCTACACAATACGAGACGCCGGGCAGGTTCCCGTCAAACACACAATGGCGAAGCACCGGTATCCTCCCGTTACAATGGACGTCAAGTGGAAGCGACACGCACTATTGGTTCCGGTCGGAAATTTGCAATGTCTGCTTTAGAAACGGGTGTCGGGTCAAGTGGATTGTTTACGTTTGACAGTTCGCTCATACGAACGAATACGCTATCTGCTTACCGGAGCAAATAAATAATACCAAAATCCACGGTACATGTGCGTCCCATTTATTGTTTATTTGGAGCACTCTTAATCTGAAAGACCCCCAAAAAGTTATTGATTTGTTTTGGCGTTGTAAACTGCATTTACCTACTCAATGGTACACAGACGTTGAAGTATTTTTATGACTAAAAGAAGAGTATTTAAACTCATGCTTTTTATTAGATTTAAGAAAAGTCATTTAGGTAGATACAGTTAAATGAACACACACACATTAAGCCGCTACTTCTTTCATTACAAAAATAAAAAAATTAAAAAAAACCTTATACCATGGACGACATTTAGGTACATAAAGAGTAAACAAATGACAGATCTAGTAAAATTTGACAAATTTTTTCTTAGTTTTTATACAAAAGCAAATGTACCAAATAGTCCGTTTTTATTCACAGAGAACTTACCAAATCGCTATCTTTAGAAGTTAGATCATCGAGTGGATTCCCGTTCTCCATGTCCACTCCGGAATCATTGGGATCCGTTGTTCTTCTTCGTGTCGCGTCACTTGTCGTCACCTCAACGTAGTTTTGTCGCAACGGATTAAAACTAATACGCAGATCGGTCGTGAAATCATCGTATAATTTGAACTGATTCGCGTTGAATTCCGTTACGTTATCCAAGAAATCATTATCGTGGCTGTCCCGTGTCGATGTTTTGGAGCGATCTGTATCGCTTTTGTACGATCTATAGTAATCGCGGGAACTCATTTTTGCACTTTGTTATATTCCTATTTATTTCATTTCTTTCGAGGAGCTCCTGGGAATAGTGTTTCAGTAAGAGCTGTTGCGTCAGTATGTATCTATTTATCTAGATGTATTGAATAGCGTCTGGCATACAATAAAACTAGTGTTGGGCAATAAATTCTATCGATATTTTAAGATCTAGTGCGTGCGTATGTTTGGCCTAGATATGGACTATAGTTCAATAATAACTGATGTTAAATTTTATTAAAAGAGGGATCTCTTAGTAGAAACAATGTTTCTGTTTTATTATTTTAGTTGGATGATAGTTTTGTTTGGTACGTTGCCAAGATGAGATGGTCTACGGATACCAAGTTTCAAGTCAATCGGATGCACGGTTCAGTAGTTATAACGGAACATCCGTAAAAATCACTGTAAATTTATATATTAGTATAGATAGTATAGTATAGTATAGATAAAAAAAAAAATTAAATCGTATTTTCAATTATAGTTGAACTCTCTTTTCGAGTTAAACTATATCCAAGTTTAACAGTGGTAGTGGTGGTGGATGACAATAGTATTAGTAGGCCACAGTAGCGGCAGTTAAAGTTATATATTTTCAAATTGGTCGTTCAAGATCAAGAATTATTGTTTTGTGTTAAACTTAGTAAATAAATCTATGCACTTGTGTCTTTACGATGTTTTTCTGTTTTATCCTTTTTTTTAAATTAGGAGCTTGTGTTTCCATTTCAAGAAATGTTTCTGTCACAGGTATTCTGACAAAATTCACAGGTCGAGGGGCGAAAGTGGGTCGAAAGGCTATTTGCTTTTAGAGCCATTTCGCTTGATACGCGACATTTGTCTTTGTAATTATTAAAGGTCGGTTTTATTTGGTATTAGTATCAAACATTTTACGTTTATAATTGAACTGCAATAAAGTTTACCACGTTCAAATAGCTGAACGAATTTTTTGTTATATTTTTCCATATTTCAAAATTTAAGTGAATCTTCTGTAAAATTGCAAAAACGTCGCTTAAGCCGCATGCATAGCTTTTCACTCCTCAATTTTTTTTATAGCTTAGATGTGTGAGCGAGCTCACAGCCCAACTGGTGTTAAGTGGTTACTGGCGCCCATAGACATCTACAACGTAAATGCGCCACCCACCTTGAGATATAAGTTCTAAGATCTCAGTATAGTTACAACGGCTGCCCCACCCTTCAAACCGAAACGCAGAATCACGGCAGAAATAGGCGGGGCGGTGGTATCTACCCGTGCGGACTCACAAGAGGTCCTATCACCAGTAATTCCACTTCTTTTCTTTTCTTTAGATCAAACGCAATGGCCAGGTCTATGCAGGGGTGGACAGCTCCAATCTCCTATCAATATCATGACTCGTGACGCCATTTTCGACAAGCACGAAGCCCATATACGCGGACCGCTGGTGATGAGAGGATACGGAGATGTTAAGGTCACAGCGATCAACAACGGACATACACGTAAGCGTTCTTGTTTACTTGTGACAAACTCGGACTCACAAGAGGTCCTACCACTACATAGTACACACCACAGTAATTACGCAAATTATAATTTGCAGATTCGATTTTTACTACATGATGCTATTCCTTCACCGTGGACGTCATTCGTGAATGTTTATGAAGTACGTATGTCATTAAATAAATTGGTACCCGCCAGCGGGATTCGAACACCGGTGCATCGCTAGATACGAATGCACCGGACGCCTTATCCTTTAGGCCACGACGACTTCAAAATATGTATTCTATAACCGATTCTTCATGTTCACGTTAAAATAATTAACAAATTTAATTACTTGCCACGCAAACGCCTAAGTTGTAAGCGTGATAAAGATCGAAGATAATGAATGGAACGCAATCATCAAAGCCTCATCTTAATTTAGATAAATTGTGTTTGATTTGGTATTACGAAAGAATTTGAATCTAAGTTTTATTTAATTTTGACTTAAACCACGACTGATAGTACGAGCCTTAGGAGGTTTACCAGCATACGTGGACATCGACAATGTCAGGGGCATGGTTGAACCGCTGCTAAAGTTAACATAATCAGTGAACTCGAAGCACGCGTTAAACAGATGGCAGATGCCATAAGATCCACATCCGATTCACGTACAGTTTAGAAATACAACGACGATCGTAAATTTCATTTGAAAATAGCTTGTTTACGTTGGTAGAGATTCAAGGTTGATTTGAATGTTTAAAAATTAAACGTAGGGAAATTATATTATAGTTAAAATACTCAGTAAAAAAGGTTTTTACTTATTGAGTTGTATAGTCTATCGAAGTATTACGTGATATTAATCTGACAGGATTCATTAGAAGATACGGTGTGACGATAGTTATGTAATAAACTTATAAACAAAACATCATGATTACATGGACATTTCACCAGGGTCCTGCTTAATGCAAGAAGACAAAAATAAGACATAGCGTTTCTTTTTCCCCCATAAGTCATTACATTGACACACTATCGTATCTCTGAGAATGTTCAACGAAAATACATATATTCATCAGATGTGGGGAAACAAAATCCCTTTTAAATCTGGTATCCATGAGAACCAACCAAATGATAAACAAATTCCTTGTGTTTTACAACAAATGTCTCGCGATTGATATAAATAGAGTTGTATTTCAATCGCTCCCGAAGCTAAAAGTAGGACAGTGCCGTAAGTAACCTCAGCAGGCAATAATAATTGTAAAATATGATCCTATCAAATTTCATCTTAACAATCTCACATATCGTGAACCCGCAATGTATTTCAAATCAATATTCGAGTTATAATCAATGAAATTAGAAACGTCGATTGTAGTTATTACAATTATCTAAGTTCTAACTTCGCGCTTCTGTATGCCGCCTGTTCGTTTGGGAACCTTCGTTTAAAATTTAGGGATTTGTTTTACTGTGGTTATCGTTACCTTTGAGGAAACAATTTCTTAACATCATCATGAATTCCGCATCGCTCAATCAGGTCGAGCGTATGCACAGAGGTTCGTGATCAAGTTTATTGATCGAGCTACAAACACATTTTACGATGCATCCTTCACATTACAAATAGATCATAAAGCTAGTAAAGAGGTTGCGTGGCAAGGTGGAACGAGGTCCTCATTGTTATACTACATTAAAATCTAAGTTTTATTTTTTAATTAGCGCAACGAAATATTGTACATATTTGGTAAAAACGGACGCAAGAGAAACTGAGCTAGCCGGTTGGAAGTTATTTGAGGAGCTCTCGACCGACTTCGTCGACTCGCTCTGACGATATCTCGATGGCCCTACGCTCTTATACTCTTATTAATAGTAAGGGCTCTTGTGAGTTCATATTTTTAGATCGAAGGCACCTCGATTTAACCTTGAACAGTGTTGGATATAGACATTTCAAGTTAATATATCTGTTTTATGTCTAATTGCGCTTCTGCCACACAATCCGGTCATCGTTCTGGTCGAACCCGTCGCTTGCGATGAAGGGCTCGACGAGTAAATTAAACCACAGACACAGCCCACTGAGTTTCTCGCCTGGTCTTCTCAGTGGGTCGCGTTTCCGACCGGGTGGTAGATTCTGCGAAGCACGGCTCTTGCTAGGGTTCGTGTTAGCACTAGCCCGGTGACGCTGATATGGTCTTTCTAGCTAGACCATCAGCTTAGGTAAAAAAAAAGCGCTTCAAAGTTCAGAATGTCATTGTACCACACGAAGTACTATTAAGTCAGTCCTGGGACTATTTATTTCTCATCATCACAACCAGACTTTATGTGATCAAATTTTTACTCCACTGCAACTCCATTCCACTCCACTATTTGGCTAATTTACTAAATACGTAAATAGTGCCTATAAAAATGCCAAACGTGAGCAGAAACTGTTGGACCTTCAGATGGGGTTAAGCAGAACCACGGTGAAAAGGGTGTTAAATGAAGACTTAGGGCTTCGGGCATATCGAAGAAAAACAGGACATCGTTTGAATGCTCGTCTAATGGACCTGAGACTGAAGAGATGCCGCGCTTTGTTGAAGCGGTACGCGGGATAAAAATATCGGAAAATTCTTTTTTCGGATGAAAAAATTTTTACCGTAGAAGAGAGCTACAACAAACAAAATGATAAGGTGTACGCACACAGTAGTGAAGAAGCGAGCAACCGTATTCCGCGTGTCCAACGAGGTCATTTTCCATCCTCGCTCATGGTATGGTTGGGAGTTTCCTACTGGGGCTTAACAGAGGTACATTTTTGTGAGAAAGGTGTCAAAACGAATGCAGTTGTGTATCAAAATACAGTCCTGACGAACCTTGTGGAACCTGTTTCTCATACCATGTTCAATAACAGGCACTGGGTATTCCAACAAGATTCGGCGCCAGCTCATAGAGCGAAGAGCACACAAGACTGGCTGGCAGCGCGTGAAATCGACTTCATCCGGCACGAAGACTGGCCCTCCTCCAGTCCAGATTTGAATCCGTTAGATTACAAGATATGGCAACACTTGGAGGAAAAGGCGTGCTCAAAGCCTCATCCCAATTTGGAGTCACTCAAGACATCCTTGATTAAGGCAGCCGCCGATATTGACATGGACCTCGTTCGTGCTGCGATAGACGACTGGCCGCGCAGATTGAGGCCTGTATTCAAAATCACGGAGGTCATTTTGAATAAACTTTAGTGTCATAAGAATCTATGTTTTGTTAAGTTCATTTTGGTATATGAATGGTTACATAATGAATAAACTTGTTTCAATTATTTTACATTAAACATGTGACAGAATTTATGACCTGACTAGGTATACCTCTATAATCAACAGTCATTCATTTACCATTGACAAAACACACTTTTAGAATTATAACCCTTTATAAGCGTATAGTCCCTTGATAAGCTACTTTTGGTCCTTTGATAATTAAGAGTTGCTGAAGGGGTCTTTCTAGGTTCAATTTGAATTAAACACGAAAACAAAAAAAATCGAAATGGTTCTTTATAATTCTAAAGGTACGATAGATAGGCTTTGCAATGGACGCCATTGTGCTCGGTCTGGCTCTGCTCATCAACTAGAACCAGCGATGAATGTTGA